AGGCAGAGAAGGACCTGGGAGTGATGGTGGACAGTCGGCTGAATATGAGCCAGCAGTGTGCTCAGGTGGCCAAGAAGGCCAACGGCATCCTGGCTTGTATCAGAAACACTGTGACCAGCAGGGCTAGGGAGGTGATCGTCCCCCTGTACTCGGCTCTGGTGAGGCCGCACCTCGAGTACTGTGTTCAGTTTTGGGCCCCTCGCTACAAGAAGGACATCGAGGTGCTTGAGCGGGTCCAAAGAAGGGCGACGAAGCTGGTGAGGGGCCTGGAGAGCAAGTCCTATGAGGAGCGGCTGAAGGAGCTGGGCTTGTTCAGCCTAGAGAAGAGGAGGCTCAGGGGTGACCTTATCGCTTTGTATAAGTACATTAAAGGAGGCTGTAGAGAGGTGGGGGTTGGCCTGTTCTCCCATGTGCCTGGTGACAGGACGAGGGGGAATGGGCTAAAGTTACGCCAGGGGAGTTTTAGGTTAGATGTTAGGAAGAATTTCTTTACTGAAAGGGTTGTGAGGCACTGGAACGGGCTGCCCAGGGAGGTGGTGGAGTCACCATCCCTGGAAGTCTTCAAAAGACGTTTAGATGTAGAGCTTAGGGATATGGTTTAGTGGGGACTGTTAGTGTTAGGTTAGAGGTTGGACTCGATGATCTTGAGGTCTCTTCCAACCTAGAAATTCTGTGTGATTCTGTGATTCTGTGATTCTGTGATTCTGTGAAACCCATCTCAACACAGGCGGACGTGTAGCATTCACACACCTGTGGGTAAATGCATTTGATATGCACCAAATTCCTTTTGGTCCTCTGCTTCTAGACATCACCCGGATTTTGTATCTGTCTCCCACACTGGCATGAAGGGCAGATCCAGTGGTGTGACCGGTGACTACCATCCTGGTTCCCTACAACCAGAGCTAGTTACAGACGCCTTGTTATTGTCAATGCTGTAACTTTAAATATGCAGTAAAACTGTTCAGTACTTTCACTCAATATTTATCTTTTCAAACCAAACATTACTGCTTGCATAACCATAAATGATGAGAACTGAAGATAAAATATACAGGCAAATCTAATTCTGATGCTTCTTTTACTAAACAGTACACTTTCCTTCCCTAGGGCACTGCCTCTCTTGTTGGACAGGCTTTCCCTGCTTTTCCAGATGTGAGCGGGTTCATTGCCAAGTCCCCTTGGCGCTCCTCGTTCCTCCCTGCGATAAGGGGGCTTTGACTTTTGCATGTAAAAAATGATGAATTACGACGAGTTGCTCGCAGCGGAGCTGCTTTGCTCAGAAGATCACAAGGCAGCAGAAGCCTGGCCAGAGGCGAACAGCTACCGATACCCGCGTCCATGGCAGCACGTGAAGACCCAGGTGGCAGTTTGCATTTTTAACATATAAAATGAAATGTAAAGGACCTCAGAATAAATGGAGAGTAGAACTGGGAAGAGGGATCCTGAAGAAGGGCCAGAAGATGTTGTCCAGAGCAAGGCAGGACCTTTAGGGAGAATAAAGCTCTAAACCACAGAGAGGGTTGCTTAGAGCCAGGGCATGAGCAGTAAATACCAAGATCATCACTGATCTGAACACAGTGGACTGCTGCTTATGTGCAAGGTTTCTGGACAGAAAATACCTTTTTCCATTCCCGTAAATGTTTTGGGAAGTACAGAAAGGTAACCTGGGGGTAGCTTCTGCTCACAGGGAGGGAGAGGGTGAGTAAGTGAGAAATAATAACAGCTTGTTTCCAAGTGCAATCTACAGGCTGCAAGGTATCTGCCCACTGGAGGAATTTTTTCCTAATAAAAAGCATCTTCTACAAGTCCTTGATGGCTGAGTATGAAAAAAACGGAAACTTGTATCTCATCACAACCACTGTTAAAAGTTATGTTTAGTAATTAAGTAACTAATTGCCTCGGATAAAATGGGAGAAAAAAATCAAATTCTTTTCATTTCTACCACCATTTTTTTAAAGCAATATTTCTCCGTAAGTAATAATAATAATAGTAATAATAAAGTTAAAAATGAATTGCACACTTAGGAATTGCTCTACATTATCTCAGACTTCACAGCAAACAGACTAAATTCTCCAGGGATTAAACATCAGTTTAACTATAAATCCAGCACAATGACAATAGACAGCTTGGCCAGAGGTACAAATAAGGCTTTGCTCTATGCAATAAATTTCGTGTCCTCCTTTTCTGCTAAGGCTAAGAAAGAAAGAAAGGAAGACACAAGTGAGATTGCCGGTATTTCAGCAGTCCCTGCTACAACAAACTCACCAAAGTGGAAAAGCTTTGGTTCCAGTTTGAAAAGGAATTATGTTCAAAAGAAAGAACCTAGCAAAAGCTTTTCCATGCTCAGCTCAATAATACATATGAAAAAATATATTGATATATGCATGGAAAATAAATAATTTATCCACTCCCCTCCCGCTGTTATTTCAGTTATACTGCAAAGGTTTCTATCAATGCATAAATTATCCGTTCTTATGAAAACATGTTTTAATTCTGTTTCTTTTATTTGAATTTTAATCCAATTCTTATCTAGCATTGGTATATGAAAACATTAAATAACAATAATTGTGAATACATTTCGAATGTGTATGTAAAACTGCTCATGCAGGAAGCCTAAATTTTACATCCTTCCAACGGCTAGAAAGAAAAGTAGGCACCAAATGGCATGTCAGATCCAGGAGGCAGCAAACACCTCTCGGCTCCTACAAGCAAGCTATCTACAAAAACGGCACATTTAATTGGGAAAAACCACGAATACTTTCAAGACATTTTGTGAACAGAAGAATGAAAAAATAGCTAACTAAGGAACTTGCATTAAACAATGCACCCGCCTCTACCGTCTAATTTTCTCAGTGGGATTCCTCTGTCTCATCTTAAACACGACACCTTAGTCTGTGTCTGGTTCAACTGATTTCAATATTTTATCTTCATATTCAAAATACTTTTATTTTTCTATGTGCCTTGAAACTTTCCCCACATTATGCTGTGGGTTTCAAAACGGTTGTGCCCTAGCAGTGCCACAGAGGCCAGGAAGGCCAGGATTTCCTGCTAGGAAATTCTCTGTCTCACCCATAGATATCAGTTGTTATCCCGTGGCTATCACTCTTAACAAATGTATTTTAGTATTAATGCACGCTAATATATGAGAGATTAAATTTTAAAGTCGACAAAGTACAGATATTTGACCTGTGCTACTTTAGTATTCATATTCTAGAATACACTTCTTTTATCCTTCAAAGGCAAATGCTGTTCCATAAAGAGGCCTCTTAAGGTATTTTCGTTTTTTGGTACAATCAATTAGCTAAATGCAGTAATTGTTCAAACCCAGTGCAAAAATGGACTGTAATAAAAATCTGAGATGCTCCTTATCATGGGTTCCTTATCTTGTGCACTGCAGGGAGGTCTCTGGTGAGCCTCATCACGTGCACACAGCCCCAGCCCAGACCCCACAGGCTTCAGTGGGGCCATTCTGGCTTTTACAGCCATATTTTTTCTTCATTTATGAACATCCATAGCCCCAACAGCACACAACATAGTCTAGAAAATTCAGGTATAGGATATACAATGCTAGAAAATGAATAAATGGAGATGAAATAAGAATCTTCCAGCTGAAGCCCAGCCATAACAAGGCATGGGTGAGGAGCTGAGGTGCGTGGGGGGCTGTGGGGATGTCCCCAGGGCTTGTGTCCAAGGCAGCAGCAGCCCCAGCTCTGTCCCAAGCTCAGTGTTTCGCACAGACAACTCTCAAGGCAGAGCGCACAGGGCTAGCAAGCTGTTCTGCTGCAAGAGCAAAGCGTGAGGTGGAGGTGTCAGAAAGCACCGAGGCACAAATTTGCTTGACACAGCACTTAAACCTGAGTGCAGGCTGCACTGGACAGGCACTAAATGACAAAGATAGCTGCTGATAGATAAAGAAATCCATTACCAAGGTGAGAGGAGGTGAACTTTGAAAGTGCGAATCAATCATCTTGTGTTTTGACTGTTTCATCTGTTTTTTAAAGAGCAGGGAATGAATGACTTGTTTGAAGCAGACAATGGTACTGTAATTTCTTTAGCTATATATATAATGGTGTCATGAATATGCATCTTTGGAGATTAAAGAAAGCCCTTTTTCAGACTCCGACATACAAAACTCTGAATTTGATTATTTAAATCATAGTAAATTATCAGTGCAATTATCACACAGACAAAACAAGTAGATTATTATTCTGTGCGATTCTCATTTAAATGAATGGGGGAGAAACAAAAGAAAGAGGAAAACCATCTTAACCTTCAAAACGAGCTCCCAATCTATCCCCTCTTCTCCTTCAGTGTTCATCCCTTTCTTGCAAGGTGACAAGTCTTTTGTCCCCCAGTGCCCAGCTCCTCTCTTCTTTCCTGAACATCCAGTTAAAATATCAGCAGAGCCCACCCAGTGTGGGTGCCACGGGACTGCTTGGCGTGCTGCTTGCTGCCAGCACCCACACCTTTCTGCACGGCACAGGTGCACACCACAACCACCTGTGAGGTGGGCAGTACGAAGCCAGTTCACACTCGCCGTGGCCTTCACGGGGCATTACTCAGTGAAGTGCCACCAGGCAGGGCAGGGGGTGCCCCCATGCATCCTCTTCCTCCCCCTCATCCTCTTGAACCCGCATCAGGGAGCAGAGGCAGCGCTAAGGGTGCAGTGCATTGCCTAAATGCACGGCTGTGTGACCGAGGTCAGCACTTTCATTACCTGTAGGATTAATCTAATACCTGCCTGTGGGATTCATTATGCACCTCGGGTGCTGTGCGTGATACCCCGTGAACTGCCTCTCCTCTGGGACACTTCCCTTGCCGTGCTGCTGCCTCCTACACCCCTGCTGCTCACAGGGAGGCTCGGTGACACAAATGAGCAAGATTTTCCCCTTGCCATGACAAGCTGACAGCCCGCAGCACCTGTCCCCTCGCCCCAGAATTAGCCCCAGCCGGAGGAGGTCTCAGCGCCGTGGCATCTCTGCTGCTTTCCCAGCGGAACAAACGGAGAGAACCGGAGCAATGGGCGTGGAGATGAGAAGTCACCTGTCTCACTGGAGGTGAGTTATCTCAAATCCTTCCACAGCCAGCGGGAAGTATTTTTCTGTTGTGTCGGGAGCAGCAGGAGCATATAGATATCGACCACCTTTAACATTTCTGTAGATCCTAATCTAAACTAATCTAGTGCAAAGGAACATTAAAGGAGGCTCTCTGAAATGTTATATGTACGATAGGAGATAAAACCTGTCAGGATGCACTCTGGGTTACCATTTAGTGTGATGCAGAAGGCGGTGTGCTGTCATTGCTCATCTTCCACGCCACTTTACGGTGTTTGCATGCACAATGTGAAAGCTCAGAGGGACACATTTTAATTTGAGCTTTATGGTGTGTAAGGTTGAAGCCTCATAATGTTAAAAAAGGGAGTCATAAATAACGACAGCTGCCCACTGCATACGAGAAAACCCACAGCACTTCATACAGCCCTCCGGGACAGCTGAAGGTGAGCAAACACAGCCAAAGTTTGCCAGCCTCACCTGCTGCCTTCCCACTGCCACCTCTGCGGCTGCACTGGAGTTCCCACTTTGTGCTGGTGGGTGGGAACTGGCCCGTTTCTGAAGGCTTTATAGGCCTGGAGACAGGAGGGGAGGAAATATTTTGACCACGGTAATTTGTCTGAAATCCTCATGGTTGATTTGTTCCCAATATGTGTTTGCTATAACTTTTGGCGCTGCATTCAACCAAGCCCAGCCATGGACACACAAAATCACATAAAACCAAGACAGAGCAAACCCTTCTGAGTTCTTCCAAAACTCTTCCCCCAGTGCCCAGAACTGAATGCCCCTGTGCGTGCTGATGCACGACTGCCTGCCTGGTGGAGAAACTGCCTTCATTACAATGCGAAGGTCACGGGCTCAAATTCTCTTAAGCTGATATTGTTGTTAAAATTCCTATTAACTTTTCTTTACATCAAAGCAATTATAAGTGAACTTATTCCTGTTATTTGCCTAAAGCAAAAAAAAAAAAAACAACAACAGCAAAGCTGCCAAACAGCAGCAGCAGCTTTCTTTTTCTCATTCAAGAAAAACAAAAAAAAAAAAAGAACAGAAGAAATGATCAACATTAGATATGGCAAGCTTATTAACAAGTCCATTAGCAAATTCATTTTGCTGATTAAATTCAATAATATGCATTCAATAGAAGCAGCAAGATAACCGTAGAAGCCAGTTCCTGCAGCACATTGCTTCATGCAGCAGGTTGGACAGAGCAGTGCCCTTGGACCAGCCCCAAACTGGGACGTGCTGGGGCACTCACAGGGAGGCTGTGGGCAGCGGTGGCACCCTGCGGGCAGCAGGGCAGCTCCACTTCTTCTGGCACTGGTGTAAGCAATGTACTGGGGCTGCACATTGGGCATTAATGCCCCAGCATTAGGAAATGGCAGGCATAATTTCACGTTCCTAGATGCTCCCATGGGATGTGGGTGGGAGAACTGCTGCCCTAGCCAAGGCTCCGGGTGCTGGGAGCAGTTACATTAATGCAGCACGGCCAAAGATTGTCCCACTCGTGTGCCAATGGTGGGTAAGGAACTTAAACTGTCGGCTCTGTATGACATTAGGTGTGTGCCCTCACAGGTACCTGTCTGCCAGGAAAAACGATGCTGGTCTGCGCTGGGACCCGTGTGCAGTTCTTTAGTCTGGAGCTTGTTTGTCGACAAGTTTGGTGCCATCCGTCTTCGGCTTCTAATTGGCCATTTCTGTCGCTTTCCATTATTGGGTGGCTGACGGTAAGTGCCTCATTCTGAAAGCAGAGGACTAATAAATAACTTAATTTCAAGCACACTTCAGTGGTTTAAGGCATGTTAAAAATGAGAACTTCAAATCATCCACCTGAGCATTTGGAGTCGTGTCCACCTAAATGGCTCCTCCGCTTTACCGCTCTGTTGATGGATTGCTGCAGGTACACCTGCATTGCATGCAACAAAACAGAATTCATTCCCAGCACATAAAATATCCCTATGTCCTAAATTTTAAATCTTTAAAAGCCCATATATTTATAATAATTGACATTCTGCATTCCAGTGAGACTTGGTGCTTTCAGAGCTTCCCAGTCAACACTTTGCCGACATTTCAATTGGTTTTCAATGCGTCCCTGCACTGAGTAATTGCAGGGTGTATGTGTGGTTCTGTCTTTAACAGAGGAGAGAAACCGAGGCAGTGTGCAGACAAGAAAAGTGTCGGATGACCACTTGGCTTGCCAGATGCCCTGTGCCGTGCCATGCCTGCTCCCAGGGCACCCGGTGCTGTGCTCCAGTGCCCATGCACAGCCCCCACCTACAGGGATCAACCCGGGGGTCTCTCCCCCACATCCATGCTGACAACCAGGCTGGACGGACAGACACATGCCCCCATTTACAATCCTTCATGTGAATATGACATAAAATAGGAAGTGCTGACATTAAATCAGCTGTGAGCGTGAACACCGACGTTTTCTGCACATGCCTTCTGTAGTGCTGTCAGATAACAATGTGTTTTCCAGGGAGTGCTTTATGATGAACTTATTATTGTTATTACAAGTGCTCTCTGCTTCATTCTGGGAATGACTTCAAACATATTTGAGGTTCAGTTCCTTTAGCAATTTCAGCCCTAACAGTTTTCATCAGTGATCTGTGCACTGTAAATAACATGGGGGGGAAAAAAAATAAAAAACATTTCTCAAAACGGTAATTTCTGGACTTCTCCCTGGCTGAAACTCCAGCAGCAATAAGCATATTTGCATTATATCAGCAGTCTCGCACCACAGCTATCTGCTCGGCAGAGTGCTCGTATTTACAGTGCACATGGTGCTGCCTGTTGTCAAACTCATGAACAAACTCAATGACCCAAAAAACTGGGAAATGTATGAACTGGAATAAAATGAGGATGAGAGGAACGTGCATGAGGTTATCACAGGCAGCAGGATTCCAGTGCAAACAGCGACACCGCCCCTGCCTCCCACCCAACCTGCTGTTCCCTGCCACCTGCAGCGTTCACAACTTTGTGCTTGTTTCCTGATCCCTGAGTTCTTGGTGAAGACAAGCACATGAATCTCACCTTGCACCGGGGAGATCTCCCAGCGCTGGCTGCTCGTTGCCTGTCCACATTGCAGCTGTCCTGGGGTCGCACCTCCTGCATGAAGGATGGCCGCTGAGGAGCGCAGGTCAGTGAGGAGGTGGCGACGTCTGACACCGGTGTTCAAGCAAGAAACTGCAAACTTGGTTAAAAAAATCACCAGGCTGCTCCTTGTGCATTTTTCATTCCAGCTAAGTGCTTCTCCTCCCGCAGCCCCCTCCCGGTGTGTGCTGGGGCCAGCTCAGGGCTGGGAGGTGAGATGTCGGGGCAGCCTGCTTCACCTTTGCCTGGGGCTCAGCAGCCGTTTACCCTCGTGCAAGGTTTGTTCTGCAGAGCAGCCCAATAGCGAGGTTATAAAGGAGCTCAAGAACTGCCTCACTCACTGTGCCGAGCCCCAGCCCCTGCTTTTTGGAGGCAGCCCAAGTTGCAGCGGGCACCCATGGGTGATGCCTGCACCTTGGGGGTAGCCATGGAGGTATCAGGGCCGGGGGTCCCATCCCGCACGCCCCAAGGCATTGCAGCACAGGTTGTGCCCACACCCCACATTATTTTCTTGTCTTTGTTCGTCCTGAAAGGATTACTCCATCCATGTCTCAGGATTTTGTTAGAAGATGAAATACAGTATTGAATTCAATCAAGAAAAAGTGTGATTTTAATTTAGAAGCTTTGTTTTCCACTCTCTCTAAAAATATCTATTTTCCCAACCTTTAAATGTTTCCTTAGGTAATACTAGTGTACATAACAATATGCCGTAATGGTTCCCCACGCTTTTAGACGAAGATGGCTTTATATTGAGAGATATTTCAGTTCACTGAGTAGAATATTAGAGTCTATAGAGCTTTGATAGGAGAAGGGCGATAAAGATATATTAAGTTATTCTGCGAGTAAATGATAAAACTGCAGAGAATTAACACTGTTTGTGCTAGGCTGTCAAATTTCTAATTTTCTTTTCTGCTCATATTCATTCATCAGGAAACACATAACATTTGTGAAAGGACTGCAGTGTCAGTCATTTTGGTCTAGGAACGTTCACCCTGCCTGCCTATAAGGGTTACACACCTTCTTTTACATCTGAGAAATGGAAAATTTCTTAAACGCAATTTACTTTTTGTTTTCTAGAGGATAGTTTACACAATCTATAAATAATTGCTATTTCTGCCTCTAATTTCTGCTAATGCCTTTTGCACTACTTCAGAGACCAGCGGAAATCCCAAGGAGAGAGATGTGAACAATTCCCTAATTTGGGGGAAAGAGGGGAAGAAAAAGAGTGAAGAAAATGATAGCATCGTACACTGTTATACTGTACTGCTGATAAGAATACTCCACAGGTGCCAGATGATGAGGAAAGCTGACACAGCCCCACAGGTGTCCGGGGATTTGGGCAGTCCCTGCTGTGCCCAGCTCCCCAGCAGCCTTCCCCAGCTGCACCTCTCGCAGCAGAGAGGCTCTGCCCGAGATTTTGTAGGTGACAACTGCACCTCATCACCTCCCGGAGACAGGATGATGAAGAACAATGAAATGGGGATCTTCCAGCCTGCCTGGGACTTCATCAGGATGACAATTCTTGACATTCAGTGCTTGGAACACCGAGGGGTTGGATAGAGCAGTCCTGGATAAAAATAAATAAATAAAATTTAAAAAAGGAAAGAAAAAGAAAAGGAAATGAAAAAAAAAAAAAAAAAAAGGAAAGAAAAAAAAAAGAAATGGAAAAAAAAAAAAAGAGTTGGGATTCTTCTTTCTTCTCTTTTCCAGCTGTCTGAGAGTGGAATCACCAGGAGAAAATACCTTGAGGGAGCTCCCGCATCCAGATTTACTTCTGCAGGCTGGATGGAGCTGGGTTTCAGAGCAGATCGTGCCTTAGCACTGGAGCTTGGGCTCCCTGGCACAGGAGGAACAGCTGCAGCGAAGCATGCCAGCCCTGGGAAGCAGGACGCTGCAGACACGGCATCTGCTGCCAGCCAGGCTGCCTGCTCCCCGGGGACACAGGGGTCAGCTGTGGGCAGCGCCCCTTCTTCAGTGGCTTCTCATTTACTCTTCAGACCAAATAGATGGCAATGACACTGCTGTTACTCTGTTGGGTTGAAGTGGAAATGGTAAACGGAAAGGAAAATCTTTCCATTTAACTTCACATCAGCATTTTCCCTGACATGCCAGCCCTAGGGTGTGTGTAGCACGGGATGATGCTGGGAGGAACTGAAAACACAAGCCAAGGTATGGCTAAAAAGCAAAGTATTGTCAAATATCTTCACTCAATACCCTTCTTACTGAACGTATGGTCATGGACTAAATTTGTAAGTAACAAAACGACATGCTAAAAGATAAACAATTAAAAGAATAATGATACGATCTGCCTTTCTAAAAGAGAAAACCATTACAGATGGCTGTGAACAACGATTGTAAATTAGATCATTTGTGTATTCATTTATATTCCTAATGTGCCTACAACTTTAATACTCGATAAATAATAATGAAGGTGCTTTAAACTCCCGGATTTTTTTCCCTGCCCCAGTGGCTTGTGGCTGTTTGATTGCATTACAGAGCCCTAATATCGCTATTTACACAAGACTGACTTGCAGTTTATGTAAGATCAAGGCTTTTAGTCCTATTCCTTTGTGAGCTCCTCAAGCAAGGAGCTGAGCTGGATTTTCACCAGTCCCTGCCCAGCAGTTCAGTAGCTGTTACAGCTGGCAAAGCAGGGAGGCAAACCGCAGCACAATGACTGAGTCTGCTTTGGATTCTGCCACGCTCATGGCCTGGAGGAGCTCAGCTGTGGCACCTGAGCTGAGGAATTGCACTCGCAATTATGCTGCAAAACCTTGGAGCACACGGGCAGAGCTCGGGGCAGTGCTGGTGCAGCTGGGTGTGCAGCCACCTCCTCCTCCTCCTGGCATGCCTTGGCCACCCAACTCTTCCTCTCACATTCGGGTGGCCACAATTGGGTGTATGAGGGTGTGCGTATGGAATAATATGCAGCGAGGACAGCTCATTTACAGAGGAAAAATAATGCCGAAAAGGTCAGAAGTCCTGGTAGTGAAATATTAGATAACAGACTATTCAAATGAACCAAATTATCAGGAAAAAAAAAAAAAAAAGAAAAAAAAAAAAAGAAACAGAAGAATATGGAAATCAGAAGCTCTGACCTTTAAAAAATGTGCATTTTGCAATGCCAAAATAAAGCCACGTGGGAGGACCTGGCCTCCAGTTTCAACAAGATTAAATATTTTGCCATTGAACAGATTATTGTGATTTACTGGCATAAATTCAGTCTGTCTGTTTACCTTTTTGCTGGTTGAATGCAGCATGCATAACATTAGAACAAGGCCTGAGACTTAAAAATAAAGATAAAAAGATGGATTCATACATGAGCTGCATGTTCCACGGACTGCTTAATGCTGGAGGCAAACAGCATAGAAAGAAATCCTCAAAGTTAGTAACAAATCAACACGTCACTTTTAATCTGTGCTTTAATAAGTTATGCAGAAAAGTCTGCAGTTTCTGTCAAAACAGAGAATAAATCTCTTTTATAAATCAAATCTGTACGGCTGTCTGCATCAAGTTAAAAACTAGGTGATCAATAGGTTTTCAGCAGCACGCCAAACAAATATCATCCCGGTGTTATAATTGATATAAATGGCACAAGCACACATCTGTCACACTGCCTTTCGGCAGCGGGAGGCATGTGGCAGAGCAAGGAGCTGGTGGGTTCATGCATGGGGTCTCCAGCAGCCTGTGAGCATGACAGAGCCCTGCCAGTGCCAAGGCTCAGCCCCACGGGGCTGCAGCCTCAGCAGAGAGCAGCAGGGGACTCCACACATCTCCCATCATGTCCAGCATCCACCACCAGCCTCGTGAGAGGGAGTTTATTTAAGAATAAGCATTGGCCTGTCCAAGGAGAAGCAGCATCAGAAGGTGGATAACATGGATATCTTAGGAGATGGTAAATATGCTTCCTATATTAGTAAGAAACATTTCATAACACTTCGGGAAGGAGTGGCACCGTGAGTGCATAGCGTAACGGTGTGCCAAACAGCACCTGAAACACCCAATTCCTTCTGCTGCTCCAGCAAAGGCTTTGCTGATTTTACTGTTCCTGGCTGCCCAGTGCAAATTCCCCATCTCAGCTTGAGCATCCCACAAGGGACTGGGACCTGCTGCCAGCAGGCTCCCGCTGTCCTGCGGAAAGCTTTCTCCCCAAACGGGTGTGACAAGCAGGTCGGGTAGCACCCACCTGGCTAACACAAACCCTGTGACTTTTTTTAAAAGTGGAAGAAAATCCAATCTTAAGGATTCAACTAACTTTAGCAGAAATAGGACAAGTCAGCGACAAGACTGACTGCCAGCTGTGAGTGGAGCAACCCAGAGAATAATGTAGTAGACTGAGAAAAAGTGACGGATTCAGAACTAGTACTTAGAAAGGGTTAAATTTAATACTTGTAGCATCATAGCATTAAAATAATTATGATATTTTACATTATTATAATTATAAAATAATTGGTACTATTAAAATATTACTTTTTTTTTTTTTTTTTACACGCTGATTTATCCCAAATTTCTCTACAATTAACACTGTATAATAATTACATCATTGGTAAGGAAAAATAAGGCACTGTTCCATCTTTTCCCAAATCTGTGCATGGGGGGTGGGGGCAGAGAGGGGAGGAAAGCTGTTTAGAAGTATAAAACTATCATTTTGGGGAATGTGACTATAAATGAGGTAAGTTTTTGCCTTGGTGTGTTTTTTGAGCAGAAAACAATTTCCACGTGTAATTCCAACCACTGTTTGCTTGTGGCTGAAGTTGAAGTGCACCGGGCAAGGTGTGCTTCCCTCACCCACCACGAGTACTGCAAGTGGCTGCATTCCCAGCTCCACTTCAGTTTGTATGAGGAAAAAATGAATAAACACCAAATATAATAAAAGTATTTCCAGGATAACTGCGGGTTCATGGGCCTGATCCAAGGTAAACAAGTGAGACAAAAGTCCTTTCACCAGGACGTTGGACCTGGTCACAGATGGATGCCAGACAGATGAATACAGGGAGAAGGAGGGCTGCTAAAATCACCATCCATGCTCAGCGAGCTCCCTAGGGCCAAACTCAGCTTTCATCAGCAATAACAGGGCCTTGTCCATGGGGTTCAGATGGGGGATGCCCCAAAGCACTGCTGTCCTGTCCCTGTCCGTGTCTCTGCCGGGGCTCTGTCCCTGCCACCCGCGATGCTGAGGCTGCGGTCCCTAACACAGGAAAAGCAGCAAAGAGAAAATTTCCTCGTTGGGCTGCAGAAAATCAGTCACAGTGGCAAGAAAAAGGTGAAAAGCGCTATGCTGCTTAAGTTACCTGATTCTCTGGAAAAAGCCGCTGTAGAAATCCCCCGGCTCTGTAATCGTGATGGATGGCAGCGCACTTGGTGAGTAATCCCTGTGCAAGGTGCCGAAGCCCTTCAGCTAATACCGGTGTCTGTGCTTGACTAGTTCATTTCTTTCCTCCCCACCATCCTCTTTTTTTTTTTTTTTTTGAAACTACAAATCAATTTTTGGTTATTTATTTGTTATTTCATATTTATCCAAGAAAGAAATATTTCTTCCCTAAAGCAAATCAAGGATAGAATAACAATCTGAGAAAGGTCAGCATCTATCCCGTTTGTTAATTGAATCTGTCTTCAGAGCCACAGTGCCAATACTTCAAGGGCAAGAAAGGGCAGGGATATAATAATAATCAGAGCAAATGTCTTTGTACGAACTGGAATTGATAGCGGATAAGCTCAAGACAAGTGCGGCCCAAGCTTCAAATCTTCTCTAAAGAAACCATCAGTCCTTGGAAATTTTGTCATTTTTCTCAAGGTAAATGGTTCCACGAGGCTGTAATCCTCTGTGGCTGGTCCCAGGGGTGTAAATTATCCTTAATCCTCAGATATTTACAGCCTGCTCAACTCCCCACCAAAAGATCTTCTATTTTACTAAAATTGCTCTGTACTGTTTTCATGTACATAAAATACTTCATATTCGTGTTTGGACTGGTCTGCCAGAGTATCTCTGAGGGAAGAAAGGGGGAGAAAGCATCTGGTCCGAGCAAGCTGTGAAGTCACAGCAAAGGAGCCCCAGCAGACGGTGTAACACAGCTCAGCTTTTTGCTGCCGCGACACTTGGCTAAGCATCACGGCTACACACCATTTCTGAACTTCACAGCATTTCCAGCACCTAGCAATTAAAGCTTCAGGAGAAAACGCATTTCCATAATTTTTGCAGCTGGGACATTATGGATGTCACTCACTGAAGCCAGGAGGCTGAGGAGGGGGGAGCTCAGTGGGACAACCTGGGGGCTCCCAGGCAGGAGGGAGAAGAAATGGGCTTTTGGTGATTTATTTTGGGCTGCTGGATGTGCAGAGGGACCAGAGGTCCCTTAGCCTTCATTTCTTCTGACCCATTTTTGCTGAAAAAGAACTTGAGAGATCTTTGCAAAGCAGAACACTTAATCAACTCAGAAATTAGCAGTCCTGGGCTCACGGCAGAAGAGTTGTGCTTCTCAGTTAAGTCTCTAAGTCTGACAAACTTTCGCTAGAGTCAACACAAGTGATTTGGGGATGTTGTTGACAAAAGAATTTGATTATTTGGGGGATATCAAGGGATTTTTGATATTAATTTATTTGGACAAGTTATTACTGTTAGAGACTCGGAGCTGAAAACATCTCATAAACAATCTGAGCCAGTTAAATGAAATTCATTGGTGGGAAGACATCACTCCTGTTCATAACTTGTTGAAGGACAGCTACCGGATTAAGATAATTCTTGTGAAACAAATACATTAATCCTGTAAAAAGGAAAAAGAACATAAACATTTTCCTTTTGTTTTATTCAGTAAGGGTGTTCACGGCTGACTGACTTCTTGCATAACAATTAAATGTTTGTTTTAGAGAAATGAGCAGGGCCTGTAGGTAAGAAATCAGATAAACGCATGGCTGCTCACGAGGCTCACAACAGCCTCCCCATCCCCGGCTTGTCTCAAGGAGCCAGCTTCATGACACATTCAGCTGCCTGGAACACGGGGTGGTGGCAACCTCCAAAATCCCAGCCTGCTGAGCCCTTCGAATCGCAGTGACTATACAAATGGTTTTAAATGTGAAACTATTTTAAAACACGTTTTTGCACTAAAACACTTTCTAATGCTGTTTATGCATAAGGCATATGTCATTTAGCTTTCAAATACCCAATGACCTGTATTTACTCAGGTTTATAAGTTTCTTGTTTTCCATTAAATGAGGTGCTTAATTCTGTTTGTCCATTTCTACTACTAAATTTTCACCTAATTATTGCAACTATATAAAAAAAAAAAAAAGCACTCCTTTCCTGTTTTCTGTTGTGCATCACTAAGATGATACACACATCCCAAATATGCTTCATAAAGACGCAGGGGAAAATGATATTTACATCTAGATACACACATCCCAAATATGCTTCGTGAAGATGCAGGGGAAAATGTTATTTACATCTATAATTTGCTTTTCTGTAAGACCTGACAGGCATTTTGCACCTTTTTTTTCCTGAAGAAGCCATTGACAAAAGCTTTCCTACAATGCTAGTACATCATTCTGGGGGTAAATCAGAGTTTCTATGCCTCTGGATCTTATTTGCAATATCTTGATCAAAAAATATTAAATATGTCATCAGTCAGACTCTTACCTTCACTTACCCATTTACAGCTGTGGATTTCTGTTATTAAGCCAGTTTTATGGAACCCCCCTCCCCACCTTTGTTTTTCCACAGCCTTCCATATATATGTGGCTACTTAGCTTTAACCACAGTGTTTTAAGAAGCAATCAGGTGAACAGAGGCCAGGTGAAATTCATCATCAGTGCCATCAGCACCTCCCTCCTGAAGGCAGCATTGTTGGGGGCTGGGACTTACAGCAAGGTGTCAGTGCCCACCCAGCACTTACACAAACGGCTTTCTTCTGGGTCCAATCCTCCCCAGCCACCAGGAAACACTTTTGAGAAATCTTTAACCAAAATAATGTAAAGCAAGGGAAAAAAAAAAAGTAATAATGATAGCATATAATAATATGATTCTTCTCAGTTTCATTATCATACCAGCTCTTAATTCAGAGCTGTTCCCCTTCCAACCAAAAGTACTGCACGATCTCTGGATTGACTGAGGGTGAGAAACAGTGCTTAAAACAGTTTAGGTTTAAAAATAGGAATTAAAAAAAAATAAAAGAAAATTAAGTTTGGAATACACGGAGATGGAAACAGTATGAAAACAAGGGAAGAACAACTACTGTGAGTTTCCATGCTGGTTAGGCAAAATCACGGTTTCCTCGGGGTTCCTTCTCATCACTGGTTTTACAGCAGCTTAATTCAGTAGCGTCCATGAAGTTTTCCAAGTTTTTGCATACTGCATTTGAGAACAGCCCTAGATGTTGTGTTCCCTGTGTGTGCACTAACCTGAAGCTCATCCTTCGAACTCCACCTGTTGGGTTTGGGGGGTGAATGCTCACAGTTGGAATGCACATTAGTAGAAAAATGTGAAAACCCGGCCCCGCGGCTGCCTGCCCAGATGTGTGTGTACGCGCCAGGCTCTAACACCACAGCAGTGCTGCTGCCATGGACTTGCTGCACGTTCCAACATGAGGCTGCTTTGCAGCCAAGCCAAATAAAAACCTATTGTTGTTTTATTGTATTATTACCGCATTGTTATGACAGCTTTAGTGTCTTAAATCAATAAAACCAGTTGTTTAGAAATCAATGTGGAATGGAGTAATATACTCGACTGAAATTAAAATAAAACTAATTGAAACCACTGCTGAGCACAAACATTAAAGAAAAAAAAAATGTTGTATAGGTGGGGGAGCAGCTCCCTCCTCGAGCAAAGTCCCATCCAATTTGCCTGCATGCAATACAAAACCACTGCTCCTGCCAGGATAGCCTTTGTCTGAACCAGCAGTGAGCCTAGAAATGAAATCGCTCCTTTCAATAGGCTCCCGAATTGATAGCACTGTCTCTCCAACGAGCAGGAACACAGCATTAAGGTCTATATGAGTTTCACTGCAGTCAACACATAAACAAGAGAAGTACTCAGACGCTCTTTATTACAAATATCTGCAGGTAAAATGTAATCTTCCAAAACAGTTTGGCCTCCAGGAGCAAAACGAAGAAGACACACTGTGGTGCTTTGATGATGACGGTTCCCTTCTGACAATAAAAGAGCCCATCATGGATCTGTACTGTCAGAGTCGCTGATCTCAGACCGGGCGCGCAGGTCGGTGCGTGCAGTCCCGAGGTGGGGATTGATGTGCTCGTGGCATTTGCATGATGAGTAAAAACAGGGTCCTTTGAACAGGAACAGCTGAGCTTCTGAGTTTCCTTTTTAAAGAACTGTGCTGTTAAGGAGAAAAAGGTTGATGCTGGTGTGCGTATTTTAATTGCTTAAAGTTGTTTCTCTTAAAACATATCAAGGACATGAAGTAGGTACAAATATATATATATAAAATAAAGGGAGACCTGAATTGAAAACTAGCCACAACCACCACTGAAAGAGCTGTTTGAAATACAAAACAAACACCATTTTCTTTAAAAATGATGATGATCACACAGGCTAATGTGTTCTCCTAACACTGCATTTGAGTTTTCTGAGCTTCGGCTGGGCATTTACGCATTGCTAGCAAGGTGAAGGAAGAGTAAACAGATAAAAATGTTCAGAGTCCAACAGACAAATAGACCAAATGAATATGGTTTTGCACTTTTTAGATAATGATCTTTTTCTTAGTAACGGTTTAATGTAGCCTAGAGGTCATATGCTTCCATTTCAACTCAATTCTTTCTATTGTAGGGCATAAAAATGATCTATTGACTTCACACAGCATCAGGTCTAACACGCAGGGCTAATGGCACATTGATGAATCGTTAATGCTTTTTCTATTGTCATCTTGACAGTTCCCCAGGAGCTGTTTTCAATGTCAAGCTTTTCCTGGGTTTTGTGAAATATCTTTATTCTGTATTAAGAAGATGCATTGCGTCTGATTCTCCCCATCCATTATGCAGGCAGTGCTCCCAGACAGTAAGAATACTATTTGTTTTGTGTGCCATTAATAATTAGGGATTACCTGAAAGGCCAAGGTAGCGTATTTTGAAAGCTGTGAAAAGGAGTTCACTGCGCACGCCCAACGTGCACGCACATTTCCAAAGCACAGACCAGATGGAGGCAGACATTTTAGCCAAAATAAAGAATATAGTGTTCCCCGAAAATGTGGCAAAATCTGTCAGCTCTGCTCAGGCACAAAGCCCTGTACGGGCTGGAGCACTTCAGCTGCGGCTGATTAAGAAACACAACATTTGACTTTGTCCAGTGAAGAACAGAGTGCACGCGGCATCCACCAATGCTCCCATTAAAGCTGTAGTGCTAATTAAACTAATTACGCACATGAGGCTGGCAATGGCAAATTGCTGGAACCTCACAGCAAAAAGAGCCTCACATAATTCAAAGGGGCAATGATATTTAAGCATAAAATTGCTGGGGAAAAAAATATGGAAATGAAATGTAGCAATCCATTAGCAAAAATTATACCCCCTTAAAGCAAGACTTGTTTAATGTCAGGTTGATAATTTATCAATTGTATAAATGTAACACAAAAGTTGCTCTGTCAGCAGTGGAGTTCCTAAACATCTCTCTACTGAGATCCCTTATCTCCAGGATGCTGAATAACTGCTTTAGTTGACAAGAGCACATCCTCTTTTGGTGAGTAGATCTATGTATTATGTGGTAGTGGACAGGAAAATACAATAAAAAATGTGATGTCACCAAAAGGACAGTTATGCTTGAAAGAAGTATAAAAGCTACACAACCAAAATACAGAGGCATTTTAGAAATGCATACTATTAATTTGCTGTCAGTGCTACACATCCTTGAGTCCATCTCTATCTCCAGGAAGGGAACGTGCACCGGTACCACCACTGAAACTACATGGGAAATACGTTTGTTCCTTTGTGCTGTGACATGCGAGCATGGGCATTTCTGTAAAGCTACACAAAAATCTGCGTCTGGGTAGATGCTTTCACCAAAATCCTGTTCGCTTACCATGCTGGTGATGGATTAGAGTCACACCAAGCACAGAAATTACTCTCGTACAGAGTAGCTCCATCAGTTACAAACCACAATTCACCTGTTTTCCCTCAGTTCTATTAGTTCAAGCACACCCTCATTTCACTTCAATTAATGTCAACGTTATATATTTCCTAATGACTGTAATGTATCGGTGTTTCCTCTGTAATGTAAAGGCACATTTGTTTTTGCAAAGAAGAGTGTGGTTTTACACTGTTTTATATTCATGTATATCACTGAAATTTATATCGCACAGAGGAAATTTCCATTTTGCTACTGTTAACAAGCTGTTTTCTGTTTATAAGAACGTCTGCAAAGGAAGCCAGAGTTAAGAACAAGCATGCACAGTTTAGAAAAACTTCATACAAGTTTGCTGTCAATCCCCGTTGGTTCCCACTTACCTCACAAGCCTCCATGCGTCAGGTCTGGGCTCCAGAACTGTCCCCAGCCACCCCTGGGTGCCCATGGGCATGCAGCAAACCCAATGCCCACTGCAATTTCCATTGATGTGACTGGTGTGGGATTGGAGCATTTAGGCAGATGTGATCGGCATCACCTCCTTCACCGGGGAGCTCTGGCAGTGGGATTTGCATGGATATTTGCAATCTCAACGTGAACATCCCTGGTAAAACCCGAGAAACGTGGGCCCTGGAATTCAGTTACGAGGTGCAGTAGCAGTACATCACTGTCATGCTTTATATTATGGCCTAGGAAAACTGTTGTGTTAAGCACTAACCAGGGACTGGACAATTATTTTTCAAGCGATATAAGCCCTGACAGCTTTAGCAACGGTGCTATACGCCAGCGTTGTAATAAAAGGCCCATCAAGCACCTCTGATATGTATATCTATTAGGTGAATGTATAAGTAATGCTGCACACACGCGCGGCACTGCATCTGTTCAATTAGGCACTGACAGGCTGATAACGAGGTGATGTGAGCCTCTCCCACGTGCTTTGCGTTGCCAGAGTCTGAGAGGGCCCAGTCAGACGCAGCACCACCGCTGGAATTCCAGATGTTCCCAGATGTGCAGTCCTTGCAGTGAAAAACCAGCCCTTTCCTTAAAAATGTGGAGTTTAATTCCAGCCACTTCGGTGATGTGAGCCTGCTCCTGGCCGGTGAAGTTCCACCTTGGACAAACATCTCAGCCAAGTCAGCAGCAGCTGGAAAGGAAAAGGGGAAATGATGAAAAAGCCGATAGCCCCTTTAAATAAGTGTAACAGCACCACCGGGCCTCGCCATAATGATCCCTACACTTGCAGGTTGTATTTTTTCCCCCTTTTCACAGCGATACATTAGGTTAAGCATAGCATAGATGACACTCAACAGGTTCCAAAAAGACAAATAAACAAAAATTCCCTTGTAGCCAATTTTTCTTTTTCCTATCAGGGAAAGCAAAGACAAGGCAGTCTGCTGGAAACAAAATTTCATCCTGGGTGTGTATGACTGCAAGAGTTTAAGGATATTTTGTAGTTATAACTGCGGAAGAAATTGCCCTGCTATCTTTCCATTTCTCCTTGACACGCATCCAAAAGAACATCAATATTTCTGTTAAGACATTGCTAGACTTGACTGCTGTGATGCTGCTATTATTCTTCCCTTTCCTTTAATTATTTTCTTCTGTATATAGCAATTTGTTTTCCTCAACTGATAAATGTCATCAATTTAAGGAATGTTACTATAATATAACTGCATGAATATATTTAGCATATAGAAAGCGTGTTCTCCCTTTGTCATTATAATCCAAACACAACTTGATTTATAAT